CACTTACCCTGTCAGGTCGGGGGCGGACAGGGAGGGAGCCCCCTTTGCCCAATCCTCCTCAAATCCAAACCGAGTGATCCTCGTCGCGTGGCCTTCGGTTCCTGGCGGCCGTTCAGGACGATTCGCCCACCCCAGAACACTTTCGGCGAGGCGCAGCTTCCTAAAAGCAACCCGACTGGAAAACAGACATGAACCGAAGAAAACATATGAAAACCCCACGGCAAGGGCACATGTCGAGCCGACGACAAAGATCGGGGGCAAAGAAGGAACGTTCGGAGAGGACCGGCTCAGGGGCGGGGGGGGGAACATCGAGCTTGCACTGGCGATACGTCGCCGATACGTCGCCGATAGGCCCCCGATAGCGAACCCGCAGAGTCCTGGGCGGGGTGGGATGTCGGGCCCCTATCGGCGATCGATGGGCGATGGGGGGCCGATGCATCTCCAGATCCTAAGCCTATCCCGCCCTACCGTTGCCCCTGAATCGTCTTGTTTCTGGTCGCAACTCGGCTACCTGGCGGCTGGTCGGGACGGTCCGGGCACCTCTGGAGTGCTCCCGGCGAGGCGCAGCCGCTGAAGGCATCCCGAGGCGGGAAAGCCGTCGGGAACCAAGAAACACATCCGAAAGCCCCACGTGTCGGCCCAGACATCCGACGGCATGATTGTGTTCAAAGCGCTGTCCCAGAGGTCCAGACCCCTTCCCCCGAGTCAGGCTTTCGCAACAGATCCGTTTCTCGCGGCCCTGGAGCCCGACAGTGGGCCGAAATCAAAGAAAAACAACCGGATTGACAAGGAAAAAAAACGTCGGAGATCTGGGAAGGGGGGCAGCAGCTGCTGCAGCAGCGGGCCTCGTCCCCAGCGGGGACGTACAGCCAGCAGGCCAAGGCGCCCGCGCCAAGCAGCGCGGCGGGCAACAACCGACGTCGCCAGCGGGGCCCCGCCGGGTCGCCCCCCTCGCGGTCCAGTGAGCCGCATCCTGTGGGGCCGCGGCCGAAGACGACGACGGCAAAGGACGCCGACGACGACGCCAACGCCGACGCCGACGCCGACCCGACCTCGACGCCGATGCGGACGCCGACCGTGGCGGCGGCGGCGACGGCGACGACGACGACGACGGCGGCGGCGACGGCGGCGGAGGCGGCGACCGCGAACACGGGGAACAATGGCAAAGGCGGAAGGAGGACGACGAAGGCGAGGAGGAGAGAACGAAGAAGACAGGACGAGGAGCACAGAGGTGGACAGAAGGAGGGGAAGATAGGGAAGAGGAGGCGGAGGAGGAGGAGGAGGAGGAGGAGGAGGAGGAGGAGAAGGAGGAGGAGGAGGAGGAGGAGGAGGAGGAGGAGGAGGAGGAGGGAGGAGGGGGACCACGGGGCGTGCAGCCCAGCCGCGGGCCTGCGCCCCGCCCAGCCGTGCCGCCGTCGCCTGCGCCCAGCCAGGCCATCTCCGCCACACACGCGGTCGGCCCGATGGCTCGAGCCGACCCGAAGGCTGCGGGCTGCCGTTTCGGAGGGCGCGCGCCTCCCTCCTCCCCCACTCCTTCTCCTCACGAGTAACAGTTCCTCCTGCACGGTTCCCCCCGGGGCCGTAGGCGACCCGACGAGGAGAAGGAGGAGGAGGAGGAGGAGCAGGAGGAAGAGGAGGAGGAGGAGCTTGCTTGCTTGCTCTCGGCTGCTGGACGATACATAAAAACGACGACGCTCTCTAAAGAGGAAAAACTACTACACACAAGACCGAGCCCGCAATCAGGGACCGAAAAAGGACCGAAGGGGACCGAGCGGGGAGGACCGAGAGAGGGCCAAGCCGAGCGAGGGCCGAGGGCCGCGACCGACGAGGGCAGGAGGGAGGCGAAGAAGAGCGAGCCGAACTAGGCGCACGTCCGCCGTCCGCACCCTCGTGCGGATCATCCACCAGGTGCGCGAGGCCGCACCGCCCTAGCTCGATGGCCAAGGCGCGGCGCCCGCGCTCCGAACCCGAACTCATTCAGTCCAAGTACCACCCCTCAAGCAGCACGTCATCATCCGCATCTGGCCATAGTGCTGGTAGGTCAGCAGCTGTCAGTCCTTCAGCACATCGGTCCACGCAGAGATCTCGTCCTTTAGGTACCCACTCGGGGCCGCCCCCCCATCGGTTTCGCCCCCATCGCTCTGAAGGCCTCGATCTGCTGCAGCTCGACCTCCGTCCAGTCGAGGGAGGAAACAACCTTCAGCATGCCCGTCTGCTTGCAGCTCTCCAGGCGGCACAAGGGGGACGTACGTCGGCGCCTCCTGCTCCGTCTCCGCCCGCCACGCCGCCATCACGTCTTTGTTCCTCTTGCCGATCCGCTCTCGTCAGCGCCTCCACCATCGCGCCGTCGACGGCTGGAGCTGGCGGTCCCAATCCCCGTAGATCGTTCATGATCTCGTCGGCCTCTGCGTCGTGCGCCCTGGCGACAGATGCGCCCGTGTCCTTTACCGCCTTCACCTTTTCCTTCAGCTCGGTGGTCCCCGAGTGCATGCTGCAGTTCGCCACCTGGGAGAAGTCCTGACTCTCGCCCTGCCTCGCCTTGGTCACGGCGGACTTCTCTTCCAGCAGCTCCGTCCTTGTGGCGATGCCCCACATCGCGCGGGATCGCTGCGCCATCTGCAATACGAGCATCGAGAGGTACAGGGTGCGCCCCATGAGGCCCGCATCTCTCACCGTCAGCTTCCTTTTCTTGGCCTCCGCGCGGCGTCCGCCGCCTCTCCTGACCCTCGGCCTCTGCGCCGAGCTCTCGCCTCCTGCTTCTCCGCGCGCCACTCGTGCTCCGTGGCTGCCCCTCTGCTGCTTGCGCTGCTCTGCTGTTCCTTCTGGCTTGGGCCCTTGCCCACCAATCTGCGAGCTGGTCGATGAGGCCCCCGCGCGGGGTCGCCAGCGGCCCCTCTTCTCGATGCCCATGCCCCCCTGCCCCTCGCCCCCCATCCCCCGCGGGTGCACCAGCGGGGGCGTGCGGGATGAATAGGCCAGCTGCCGATCTGATATCCGACCCGCGGAGGCGGTCGGTCTGGGCTGGCGCCGCACTGCAGTATCGGGGTCTGGGTGTGGATGGCACCGGTCGTGGCTGGACAATTGCATTCGACATTCCCTCCTGCGTCGGCGGCAGGCGAAAGCAAAGATGGCTTCGGAGCAACTCGTAGTTCGGGAACTCTCTACCACATAATGTGCATGACCGATCTTGTGTGTCTCGAAACTCGTAGGGATACGCCGTATTGTGCCTAATACATCGCCCCGCGTGCCATGCTCGTGCGAGATGTCGCACTGTTTCCGCTTTAGTTTGGAACGTAGTGCCACCATTGACACATGCGCTGCTAGGTGTGAGTGCATGAGAAATACTATGTCCACCATGTCCTGGCTGTCGTAATTGGCATACATGTGCTACCAGGGCCGCCCGAGTTTTTAACGTACAACCACATATGGGGCCTTCTGGGTTTCCTTTGATCTGACACGTGAATTTCAGGGCCTCAGGGTCCTCCCAGCTGTTTTACTGATGCCGCCAATACGCCTGGCGGCGCCCACTGCACAGCAGCGAAGGCGCTCCGCAAGCACCCCGGGCCAAGGGAGACAAAGAGGCCGTTCACCTCCTCGTCCCACAGCAGGTCCCTCAGCGAGCGGCCCCCCCATGCCAGCGAAAAGGGCTCCGCCTCAGGGCAGCCGCAGAACCTCCAGATCACGTCGCAGTTGACGCGCCCAGGGATGAATTACAGCGTCGTTGTTGAACTGCCCCGAGTCCACGAGCGTTGGCGGGCATCGATATGCGCTGTTCGCTTCCCATTTCATCTCGCCAAAGAAGACACCCAATACGTGTGCATGGTTGCTCGGCCTACGAGCTATCTCCTGCCACATTCGAATCCGCTGAGCAGTAGCCTCCAAACTAAAAGGCACCAGGTTCCAACATGTGTAAACATCTCTTGTCTTCATCACTTTGACATGGTCGTTCTGGATGCTCGAAGTCCCCCCCCATCATAGATCTCAGCTCCCTCGAAATCGAACCGCATATCGGTCGAGTTTCGGAATCATTCCAGCAATAGGGCACTGTGCCCGACAGCGCCGCCCCGCTCACCAACGATATGAACATCAGCCGCTTCACGCGCTTGGGGGCCGCCGCGCACCAGAGGCCCTGGACCATCATCCAGCCCTTGTTGATCGCCGCCAGTCGCGCCTTCAGCTCGGTAGAGTTCGACCCCACCGCGTTGAACCAGGCCCCCAGGTGCTTCAACTCATAGCCACTTCTACACCCGCTGCGCGCGAGCGCTGCGATACTTTGTCGGACCAGCCGTCTGGATACCAGGCATACCACCACATCCTGCTTTGACCTGTTCGGTCCATACTTACGTGTCGCCAGTGCTTGATCCAGGCCTACGTCATTCCTCTCGGAGCAGGCCACCACTTCCTCGGCCTTGCGAATATCTGACGAAACCAACTGCGTCTTGAAGATGTCGTCCACGAAGCAGCCCAGGCTCGCGTCGATCGTCGGTAGGCGGGGGCCGAAGTCGATCAGCATCGCTCCCGCCGTCGCCGCCTGGTCTACCAATGCCCACTTCTGGACCGCTATGTGGTAATTGAACATAAAGAGCTCGGGCTCGGAGGCGTCGCCCATGAAGCCCCCCGTGCCGCTATTGATCGCCGCCTCTTTGTCCGCACCTGGGACGATAACCGTCAGCGCCTGCCTCCCCTTCTGGGAGATGGCCGTGACGGGCTCCACATCTTCCTCCGAGACCTCTTCGGCTGCCGCCTCCAGGCGGATGCGGACGCCCTGCTCGATCTGCTGCTTGTCGCCGCAGCCGAAGGCGTTGGTGGCGTCGTAGCTCTCGTGCAGCATTGGCTGGCCAGCGTTGCGCCCCTTCAATGCCACTATTCTCGTCGCCAGCATCAAGTGTTCGCGGCGACGGCCCCTTGCGGCGAAAGCCCACTCGGGCGGGCGGAACGCCCCCCCCCCCCCCCCCCTCAAGAGGCCGCCGCGCACCACTGCTCTCCACCAGCTGCACATACAATTCACGAGGCGACGGCCTCCTGGCCCTGGCTTCCCATTCTTCTTGTCGGGGGCGAAGCCGTAGGACAAGGAGGCCTGCTGGGGGAGCTGTCGCACCCGCCGAACGCGTAGTGCGAGTCTAGAAAGTCGCCGACAAGGTTCACCACATTGCTCGAGGTGGACCAGCTGCTCGTTCTTGCAAGGGCCTGGCTCCCGCGGGCCGGTGCCCACATGGAACGCGGGACGAGAGCCGAGACCAGCTGGTTTCTTCACGTACTCCGAGGGGGAGCTGATCCATGATGGCGCTGTCAGGACTTTGAAGATCTCCGACGGGCACGACCAAGATGGGGCAGACGTTCCAATCTTGGTGCGACGCAAGGCCTTCAGCGTCATCATGAAATCCTTCTGGGCGCTCTTCAAGTGCGCCTTCGTCACGTCGTAATTGTCTGGGGTGGCGTACTCATCCGTGTTACGCAGCGCTGTGTAGTACTCCTCTGTCAACTTGTGGCACAGTGGCGCCATGACTCTCCGTCCCACGAGGCCACCATCCAAGGCCGACCGACTCAAGTACTCCGCCCACTCATCAGCCGTTGGGTTGCACGTAGCATGGGCGCCATAATTCCGAATGCTTACCCCAATCCCCGTTCTCGCTAGTGATCGGGCCAGTCTCGGGACCATATGCATGTCGCGGATGCGCCATGCCTCCTTCAGCTCGGCCTCCGTGTACTGCTGCCTCTCCTTATTCCGTCGCCTCCGAAGGGAGTGCAGGGCACGTGCGTAGCTGCGTATAGCCTCTCCCAGCCACTTGACCTCCGTCATGTTCGGGTTCGCCTGGGCTTGCTCCACCTCCCTCGACGTGGCCTGGGTCATGAGCTCCGTCCGCTTCTTCAGGTACTCCCACTTTTTCTCCTCCAGCTCACGCTCGTGGGGGTGTCTGACAGCTTCTTGCGAGAAGTGCTGCAAAGCCACCTTCCGTATTGTAGCCATGACCAGCGTTGCATGTCCACTCGCCGTGGGTCTCGATTCAAGAATATCCAGGGAAGGTGTAATTTCCAATACCGCAATCTGAGCATCCGCCAAGAATTCTTCTCTGCCCGCCCCAGTCATCACACACCCCGCCAAGCGCTGGCGGCCCCATCTTTCACGTAGCGGTCGGGGGCTCACTGGCGCGATGGCGTGGAACTTCATTACCACTGGTATGTGGTCGAGCACGCCGTTCATCGCCCGAATCTGCTCTCCCGTCCGCTTCCAGTTGCATGCCCGTTTAATAAGTCCCCTCGCTGATGTGTTTGCTACTGTCATACGTGTCTGATCTAACAATTCTGGAAAAAGCTGCCCGCAGCACGTCTCCCGTTCACCACCGAAAGGTCCAATCACCTCATATTCTGCATGATATCGACATAAGACTAGAATTCCAATCCGTCCGTATGATTGGCGTGAACCTCTGCGGGACCCTCAAGAGCTCCTCACGTGCCCATGCTGTGATGTGTCGGCAGGTCGCCTTCCACAACTTTGCCTCGCCAGGGTGGGAAGGGCGTGGTGGGTAGTAAAGTACCATCAGCGCGAGGAGCAATGGTCCTGATTCTACATAGACGAGGCCACCCCGACCACGGAGACCTGGGGGCGGCGGCACGATTCTCCTGATACTACTCTCATGGAAGTACTTCTTTGCCAGGAAGACCGCGCAGCCGCAACTTTTGTTGACCATCGCACTTCTCGACCACCCGAAGTGCACAATATGGTGGTGCGGAGCCCGTCCTCTATGGTGCTGCTCGCCATACCACGACCTCACGCCCGTGCCTGGCATACCTATGATCCCAATTCCCTTCAACGCGCTGGAGATCGCGTCGACCCTGTACGCTGACAGTAAGTTCTGCGGGTTGTACGTCGCCACATACGCCTCCCTGCCCGCCATCGCGCATCCCACCAGCACTGGCCCGCACAGCGCCTGCCGCCAGAGCACCTGGCGTGCGCGCCCGCCCCCACGGAAGGGGGGCACACTGGCGGCGGTCATGGCTGCGCCACGGGCGCGGCTGAGGGAGGAGGAGGGAGGAGGAGGAGGAGGAGGAGAAGGAGGAAGGAGGAGGAGGAGGAGGAAGGAGGAGGAAGAGGAAGAGGAGGAGGAGAAGGCGGAGGAGGAGGATGGGGACGGGTCGCCTAAGCTCTTCGGAACAACCCTCCAACTCCTCCCCGTCGAACCCCGAGGCCAGTCAGAAGGGCGGGCCGGGCGCTTCGCCTGAGACTTCCTTACCGCTTCTGGACCTGATGCTTTGAAAACTGGCAACAGATCCACCGATGGAGGGCGGGTGGTTTTAAAAATGTGTCTCGCGCCTTCGCGCCGCGCGCAGTCGTTTGTAAAATGCAGAAACACCCCCAAACAAATCTCACATAATGCGGCTCTCGCCTTAGAGCTGCGCGCACTCGTTTGATATGTGCAAGAGCTTCACGGCTTGAGGGGAAACCTTTTTGTAAATATGTGGCTCTTGCCTCAGCGCCGCGTACATTCATATTACAAGTTGCGAAAGCTTCACGGATTGAAAGCGGCAACTTTTCAAAATGTTGTTTTCGCCGAAGCGCCGCGTACATTCGGTTTAGAAGTTGCAAGAGCTTCACGGGTTGAGGGCGGTTCCTTTTCAAAGTGCGGCTCTCGTCCTAGCGCAGCATACATTCGTTCTAAGAGTGTGCCAGAGCTTCACGGACTGAGGGCGGTTCCTCCTCCTCCTCCTCCTCCTCATCCTCCTTCTCTTCCCCTGTTCGCCTCTTCTCCTCTTCTCCTCTTGTTCAAAGTCTCCTCATATCCTCTTCTCCTCCACTCCTGTTCTCCTCTTCTCCTCGTCTACACATATCAGATTATACTATTATGATGTTCTCCTCCTCCCTCCCCCCTCCTTCCCTCCTCATCGGGGGGGGAGGGGGGCATCACCGTACCGCGCGGCCGCATACCATCGCGTTGCTTTCTCGCCGCGCCGGCGGGGCGCGAACCGCCCTAAGACAAACCAGCCATGCGCACGGCGTCGCAGAAAAACACCCTGGGAAAAGAGTGCGCGTTGCCCGCGAACTTCTCCTCCTCCTCCTCCTCCTCCTCCTCCTCCTCCTCCTACGCACGACTCAAAGGAAGAAGGGAGAGACGCCCATCAGTCCTGACTGAAACTGAAGGGGTGGGCCATCGGAGCGGGACCGTTTTATCACCTTGCCTGGGCTTGACGCACCAGGACAAGGGCCAGTGACATGCTCCTCCTCCTCCTCCTCCTCCTCCTCCTCCTCCTCCTCCTCCTCCTCCCCCCCAAATCCTCCTCCTCCTCTTCCTCGTATTAATATCATTATTGTGTGCGAGTGCTGCGCTGGTACAAAATAGCTTCAATATTATGATGCTTAGTAGTAGCAGTGTGATTGGTATTAATATGGATATGAGTAACGTAATACTATTAGTTGTACTATAACTAGTAGTCTTAGTATTAAGAGTAGTCTTAGTATTGGTACTGGTACCAGTATTGGTATTAGTAGTATTCGTATCAGAAGTATTGCTAGTGGTTATAGCATTCGCAGTGTTAGTAATTTGTTCTTCATATAAGTACGCACATCCTGAGTGGGGTTATTGTTCCTCCTCCTTCTCCTTCTCCTCCTCTTTCTCTCGCCTCCCTACCATACTATGCCACACCACCTACCACTCCATACCACCCCTACAATACCAAAGCGAGCATACAATACCAAAGCTACCTTACCATCCCTACCACTCCAGGAAAGCCACACCAGAGCGAGGAGGGTTCCGGGATACTAAACAGTGTACAAGGGTCCGCGCCCCCCAAACCCCCCAGGAAGGCCCCGCCTGAACGAGGAGGGTATTCGAAAACCATGATACATATCAGGTTTCGTGCCCCTCCCACTCCTCCAGGAAGACCCCGTCTAAGAGAGAGGTGTTTGAATACCATGTCATGTATCAGGTGTCGTGCCCCTCCCCCTCTTGCAGGGAGGCCCCGCCTGAGCGAGGAGGGAATTCGAAAAACTATTGTATTAATCAGGTCTCGCGCCCCTCCCGCTCCTCCAGGGAGGCCCCGCCTGAGCAAGGAGGCTATTCGAAAACAATGCTATGTATCAGGGTTCGAGCCCCTCCCACTCCTCCAGGGAGGCCCCGCCTGAGCGAGGAGGGTGTTCGAAAACCATGCTACTTATCAGGTTTCGTGCCCGTCCCACCCCTCCAGAAGGACCCGCCTGAGCGAGGAGGGTGTTCGAAAACCATGTTCTTTATCAGGTTGTGTGCCCGTCCCACTCCTCCAGGGAGGCCCCGCCAGAGCGAGGAGGGTCATCAAACATCATGCTATGTATCCGGTTGCGTGCCCTTCCCACTCCTCCGGGGCGGCCCCGCCTGAGCGAGGAGGGTATTCGAAAAGCATGTTATGTATCAGGTGTCGTGCCCCTTCCACTCCTCCAGAGAGGTCCCGCGTCCCGCATGAGAGAGGAGGGTTTACGAAAACCATGCTATGTATCAGGTGTCGTGCCCCTCCCACTCCTCCAGGGAGGCCCCGCCTGAGCGAGGAGGGTGTTCGAAAAACCATGCTATGTATCAGGTATCGGCCTCCTCCCACTCCTCCAGGAAGGCCCCGTCTGAGCGATGAAGGTGCTTGAAAACCATGTCACGTATCAGGTTTCGCGCCCCTCCCGCTCCTCCAGGGAGGCGCCGCCAGAGCGAGGAGGGTAATCGAAAAGCGTGATATGTATCAGGTTGCGTGACCCTTCCCACTCCTCCACGGAGGCCCCGCCTGAGCGAGGAGGGTATTCACAAGCCATGGTATGTATCAGGTGTCGTGTTCCTCCCATTCGTCCAGGGAGGCCCCGCCTGAGCGAGGAGGGTTTTCGAAACCCATACTGTCTCAAGGCTTCGCGTCCCTTCCCACTCCTCCAGGGAGGCCTGGACAGAGCGAGGAGGATAACCCCTGACCAAGGTCCTGGACTTCATGGGGGGCGCTGTGCCCATGGACGGCACCTTCGGGAGGAACCACATCATCAGCATGAAAGGCACCGGCTCGGATGTGAAGACGCAGGGCGACGGCTCGCAGATGGCAGATAAGGTCGAGTACACGGTGGACGTGCTCAACTGTTTCAACGGCCTGGCGGACGGCATGCCGTTGCCAGAGGTGCCGCCCTTCCCCAAACTTGACAGGAAGCCAGGGGGGAAGTTCACCAAGGAGATGTTCGACGAGACATGCAGCGCCTGCCTGGAGCAGGTAGGGAAGGACACCAGCGAGACCAAGAAGCGCCTCCAGGCCATCATGGACTACATGGAGCGCCTGGGCGTGGACGGCTAGAAGGTCTTGAGAGGACGTGGAGGGGCGGTGTCCCCACGCGCAACGCGGGGCATACTGAGCTCCTTTTGGGGGGCTCGGTGTGCCCTGCCTCGATTTTGGTTTTCGTGTCGCTTCGTTTCGCTTCGGCTCGCCCCGCTCGGTCCTTCGACCCCCCCGTGCGCGGAGGATGGCCCCCCTCTTCGGCGCGGCGCGGGCCCGAGGCGTGCCCCTCATCCTCCTCCTCCTCGTCCTCGCCCTCGTCCTCCTCCTCCTCCTCCTCCTCCTCCTCCTCCTCCTCCTCCTCCTCCTCCTCCTCCTCCTCCTCCTCCTCCTCTTATTATTACTGCTACATGCATTATTAATTTTCGTATCATTGTTATCCGTATTAATATATTATTATGATACCGTTTAGTATTATCATGATTATCACTATGATTAGTATGTGTTTTTCCTTGTATTGTTATTATTAATATGTTTATGATTGCTATTACTATTACTATCCTTCTTCTCTTCCTCATCCTCCTCCTCCTCTTCCTCCTCCTCCTCTCCCATCCTTGTCCTTATAGATAACTTCTCTCTGTCGCACTCAAAAGCCAGCTTTTAGAGCGGGCTGGGCGGTTCGCATAC